GGACCTGCCCCGGCCCCTCAACCGCCACTTTGCACGAGGATGCTCTCATTTGTGCACACGTGGGAGCTCGTTGGGGCTCAGGTGGAGCCTCTGGGTGATGCAGGTGGTGGTGGGGTGTGCGTCCGCACACTCCTCAGCACCGGCCTCGTGCTCCCCTGGGTCTGTGGGCAGCACAGAGGGACCAGCCCAGGGGTGCGGTTTTTGGAGGACAGCTGGGTCCTGTTCCCCAGGCTCTGTGGGCTCCCTGATACATCCCGAGGGGACTCTGCTACCTGCTCTCCTCCCAGTCCCGGGGTTTCTTGGTCTCATTGGGCTTGATGCAGCGGATGTAGTGTGGCGTGCACTTCATTAGCGTGTTCACCAGGTCGTTAGCCTGTTTCTGTTTCAAGGATTGACCTCTGTAGTGTTAAGAGCATTGGTGGGAGCCCATCACCCTGCTGCTGCCTCACAGGCAGCTACTGTCCTGCAGCCTCCGGGACGTACCTTGATTTTGGAGCCCGCAGTGGTTGGTCGTCCTTTTTTGTCAGAATCAAGTTTTTCTGGGAAAAGCATCCTGATGAAACCACTGAAAGGCAGGTGACAGTCCCCGGGTGAGAGCCGCCGGGCTCCCCAAGCTCAGCACGTGCTGAGCTGGAACCAGCTCCAGCTCTGCTTTCTGCTGCTGGGAAATCCTGCACCACAGCTCAGCCCGTCCCTCCCCTTGACTGCCCCAGGCTGAGCAGGATCGGTGCCGGTGGGTGAGCACCCCTCTGCCCACACCTGCAGCCCCAGGTGCTGCTGCGCTCGGCGGGGGGATGCCGCCGGTGCTGGCGGGGCAACGCAGGATGCTGAGCCCCCCGAGCTGTGGCTGCAGCAGAGGCAGGACCAGCAAAGCGTTATGGTCTAGGTGTTGAGGACGCTGCCCTCTGCCCCAGCCTTTTTGGGGTGGCTCCCAGGACCACAGCACTGCCAGGACTCACTATTCGCTGCTCTGCATGAGCTCGATCAGGTCGGTGAAGAGCACGTCCCGGTTGCGCTCGCAGAAGCCATTCACGTCGTAGGAGACCTGGGGGCATGGGGGGGAGCTCAGCCCCATGCGGCAGCAGCCAGGGCCGTGGGGTGCAGGGTGCAGGGTGTGGGGTGCCGTACCTTGCCTGCGTAGTGGTGGATGATGAAACCCGAGTTCCAGCTGTTGAAGTGCTCGTGGCCGCCTGCAGCTTCTGCAGCAGGGTCTGGTCCGCTCCCTCGCCGGTGGCGTGCATGGTGGCACAGACGTCGTCCAGAACGCTCATGATCCCAGGGGGGTTCTGGGAGAGGGAGAGTGAAGCCATGGGTGTCCAAAGCTCCAATCCTGCATCTGGCTGCGCTCAAGTTCCCTTCACTGGTCAAAGCTTCTTCATGCTGAACCACAGCTTAGGTTAAGGATGCAGAGCTGCTGCTCTCCCAAGGATGCTCCACGGCAGGACCGGCTTTGGGCCCCCCCCCTCCCCACC